CATCAATTTCAGTGAAATTAACAATCACTGGTAAATTGCTATTATTATCATCTATACCGTATTCCATGTACATATACTAAGGCGGTTTCACTCTCCAGTTAATGGTATCTAACAGGCAGATACTGATCCGCATAAAAGATAGAAAGTCTTTTTGCACTCTCCAGTCAGATTTAGCGAATGACTCTATCCTATTTTGTCTGCAGAGTACACAACTGTAGAAGAGTTGACTGCCTCGCAAGTGAACGACACCACCATCATTGTGAGCTGGACCAAACCACGTCCTGTGGACAAATTCAAAGACGAGTATCACGTTACCATATGGGGTCCAGACTATAAGAAGACCTATACAACGAAGGAGATTTGGATCATCGCTGGCGGCTTGGATACTACTAAAGTGACCAAGGTCACTGTACAAAGTGTTTGGGCCAATGGCACAATTGTTCCCGATGTCGCAAGCACTCCTGTGCAAAGGCCTTCTCTTGGTAAATTTTAATTTATCTGCGCCTAGCCTCATCGATCTTTGCTGAATATAATATTACGCTGCACGAATGTCACTGCGACTATCCTACGCAAAGAATTCTGCCTAATCTAGGCCTGTTTCATATTAGCTGTACTAGCCGGAACCCGGACATCGTCCTTTGTTCATTGTGTCGTGAGAAGCCGACTGGTTTAACTACAGTCGTTTCATATGTCCTCTTCAAATTTGACTGACAATTCCCACATGTTATTGATGCTGCGCACGCTTCCTTGGACTATCTGGTGGACATCGTCTCTCGCTCGCTCGTCGCGGTCTTAGGGTTTCACGGAATCGAATACACAGTGAGGTAGTAGCCTGTAGTTCAGTTCGGATTCCCAGTCAGCGGTAAACGTGCAAACCCTTGGCAGTTGGGAGGTCACATACACCTAGAGTCTACTAGTCTTCTCACTCGCAAGAATGTAGGAGACAGTGAGGGCCAGAATGGTAAAATACGATGATATTGTATCTTATATGAGAAGGCCGGCTTCACTCACCTCGTGTGTAACGGTACTTTAAATTATGAAATGACAAAGGAATGCCAAGATATTCATGAGTGAACCTATCATTTATGCGGTCTGTCGCTGACTGGATTCAGAGAACTTCAGCAGGTCATCGTGCAGACCACTGCTTGCGGAATTTCGAAATGGCCGTTTTGGAGACCCACATTATGCGCGCAAAAATGCATCAGCCACTGCGGCATGACCGCGAATACTTGGACTCTGTCAACGGATAATCAGTACTATGTATGGGCTTAGTTGTGATACTGAAGGCAGGAACTCGACTGAAAGCCCATAAGCCAGTGTTTCGCCAATAAAAGTTGAATCTTCAACAAGATTGGAAATTTAATTATTATCGCAGAGTTATCCAGCGTTTCCACTCCGCCAATGTGACTATTTACTTATCTTTTCTTTGTAGGTGTGCCGGTTATTCCAAAGGATTTCACCGCCACGATTCTGAATTGCAAAACTATCCGTCTGGCCTGGAAGACACCAATTACTTCACAGCCATGGGGACAACAGTATCTGCTCACTGTCAGCAATAACACCTACACCAAGAGCTATAAGCTGATGACTACAGAGGAGACAATAACCAGCTTGGAGCCCTCTTCCATTTACAATTTCACTCTCCAGGCTCTTGACAAGAGTGGCCA